CAACGAAGAGAAAGACTTTGAAGAAGCATTTTTGGGAAGTTTGTTTCTGAACAGACAGCAGATCTTTGTGATTCTCGAGGTTATTCATGTTTGAAACCGTCGTTCAGAAAGTGAGAGTAAAGTTTAGGTTGCTGGAGCTCAAACAGTGAAAATGGCTTCATCGGCTGAATATGACTATAATTGTCCCGTGTGCTGTGAAATCTTCAAGACTCCTGTTATTTTATCATGTAGTCACAGTTTCTGTAAAGAGTGTCTTCAACAGTTCTGGAGAACCAAGAAAACTCAGGAGTGTCCCGTCTGCAGGAGAAGATCCTCAAGAGATTGTCCTCCAATAAACCTGGCATTACAAAACTTGTGTGAGTCGTTCCTGAAGGAGAGAAATGAGAGCCGTTCATCAGGATCTGAGGAGATCTGCAGTTTACACAGTGAGAAACTCAAACTCTTCTGTCTGGAGGACAAACAGCCTGCGTGTGTAGTGTGCTTTACTTCACAGAAACATGTCAGTCACACATTCAGACCCATCAGTGAAGTGGTTCCTTCATATAAGGTAGGACAAATGTCTCCTGTTTCATATGTAAAGAACAATAAGTAATCATAAACACAGATATCATCACATTCGTGCACACAGTATTTCTCTCTGCTGTTTTACTAAACGTCATGAGACTTATACTCTGCTGTGAGAAAGTATTTGGCCCCAAATGGAGCCACGCTGTGAAGGTTCTACTGTGTCGAGCTGTTTTCATTTGGAGATAATGGCTCTCGCTGGTTCTTTGAGTCCAAGAGCCTTTAAAATCACTTTGTAACCCTTCCAGACCGATGTATTTCAATCAGCTTCTTTCTCAGCATTTCTCAAATTTCTTTCACTTTTGGCAGAGTGTGTTACTGAGTAAGACCCTTAATCAACTTCATGCTCGACAAAACTTCTGTTTAAGTACATTTTGTATTTATTTAGGTTGCTTTTGTTTTATTTTTGGTTTTAATTTCTGAATCAATTTACTAGGAGATATACTCAAAAAAAAAAACATCAGGATGAGGGCAAATTATTTATCACAGCACTATATAATCACTGTATTCTCTTCTCTTTACTGCAATCAGCTGTTTTATTTATTTGTATTTTGTTCAATTCTAGGAGGAGCTCAATACAGCACTGAAGTCCTTACAGGAGAAACTTAAAAAGAGAGAAAAAATGAAAGGAGAGTTTGAGAAAACAGTTCAACACATCAAGGTGAGGAAACAGAATCAAGAGTCATTTTCAGTACAGGTCTAGCATCACTAAACACAATTATCATATTTTATATTTAATATAATGGATTTCAGTTGATTATTTTTGTAAATGACGAGCAGCAATCTGCTTCTGGATCTGTTATATGTCGGGTGTCTGGGTTTCTCTGGGATCTGAATGATGTGATGTGTTGATGTGTGTTGATTGAGATGATTGAAGTGAATGTGATTTGATTTCAGTCTCAAGCTGAGCACACAGAGCGTCAGATTAAACAGCAGTTTGAGAAGCTTCATCAGTTTCTCAGAGATGAAGAAGAAGCTACAATCACTGCACTGAGAGAAGAAGAGGAGCAGAAGAAGCAGATGATGAAGGAGAAGCTGGAGGAGATGAACAGACACATCTCAGCTCTTTCACACACAATCAAAGACACGGAGGAGATGATGAAAGCCAGTGACGTCTGCTTTCTGAAGGTCTGATTTCAGATCATCCATTGATTGATTGATTGATGATTGATTGAGTTCTTGATGATCAATGGTGTGTTTGTTCTGCAGGAGTTTCCAGTCACGATGGAAAGGTGAGTGATCTGCTGCTGTCTCTGCTCTCTCTGCTTCTGATCCAAAGCCACTGCAGTTCTGATCCTGAATGTTCTTCCAGAGTCCAGATCTCATCACAGCCGGATCCACAGACGCCTTCTGGAGCTTTGATTCATGTGCCGCGTTACTTGGGCAACCTGCCCTTCAGAGTCTGGAAGAAGATGCAGGACATCGTCCAAAACAGTGAGTCTGGAGAAGATCTGTGCTGTTACACACACACTGGAAATGACGCATGAGGGAATATTGACAGATTTCAGCATTATGTGTGAATAACCAGATGAGCTACTACACCAAAATGAGCCGAAAACAAGAGAAGAACAGCTTTGGTCCGCATGATATTTACAGTTACAGTGATACAGCAGATCTCAGTTCAGTTTGATTGATTGGCAAATCTAAAATATTTACTGTAACAACACTGACAGTGATCAGAGGAAAATGTCTGATGTGTTTGATCAATAGGACGAGTGTCATAATTCATAATAATCTGTGTGCGGTTCACTCTTGATCATTATATGAACATCAGAATAAAAGCAGCTGTTGATTGTGTCTCATCAGCTCCTGTGATTCTGGATCCAAACACTGCAGATCCATATCTCGTTCTGTCTGATGATCTGACCAGTGTGAGACGCAGCGGGAACAATCAGCTGATTCCTGATAATCCAGAGAGATTTAACTCTTATCTCTGTGTTCTGGGTTCAGAGGGTTTTAACTCAGGAACACAGTGCTGGGATGTGGAGGTTAAAGAGAGTTTAAGGTGGAGTCTTGGAGTAACTACAGCATCAAACCAGAGGAAGGGACTTGTTTTCTTTAACACTGATGTCTGGAGTGTGCAGTACGGATATTTTGATCGGGCTGGTTTTCCTGTTAAACAGAAGCTTGAGCGTGTGAGAGTTGATCTGGACTATGACAGAGGAACGGTGTCATTCTCTGATCCTGTAACTAACACACATCTACACACATTCACAACCACCTTCACTCACACACTCTTTCCTTTCTTCTGTACCTATTCCTCTCTGAGGATCTTAGCGGTCAATAGTCAGTAAATGTTACACCTGTAGTTCTGGATCGACCTGCTTTCATCTTTTACACTCATCATGTTTCCAATATTTAATTCTTATCACAATTTCAAAATTTGTTCAACATGAGACTAAATTAATAATTGTTTATTTCCGTTATAAATGTTAAATGATAATTCGTTCATTGACGTAAATATGAATTGGTTAGTGAATCAGTTTGAATGATTTGTTCAGTTCACTGCATGCACTAAATCATCTGAAAACTGTAATGGGAAACTGAACACAGAGAACATAAGGAGTGTTGCATGGAGTATATCTGAACCTACAATCTGCAAAAAAAACAATTAGCAAATGCTTCATATTGTTGACATCAATGAAGATCTAAAGTATCCAAATAGAAATTTGTTAGCCATTCTCAATAGGAAAGTACCCAAGCAACATTGCTCAAAAAGTTGCCCCGTGTATCATCAGCCTAACACTTTCACAATGGTCTTGTTTTTTTCTCAGAAATGCAAGATTACATCTCATAATTCTGACCTGGCATGCGCTCAAGTCAAGAGTCTAAACATTATGCACTCGCAATTAAGAGTTAATAACTCGCATTTCTGAGGAAAAATTAAAAAAATTGTGATACATAAACTCAGAATTCTGAGAAAAATGTCAGAGTTGCTAGATGTAAACTCAGAATTAAGAGTTTATAACTTGCTGCTGTGACACAAACTCGCAATTTTGAGAAAAAAAAGACAGAATTTTGAGATATATACACACAATTGTAATTTTACAACACAATTTCTGAGGAAAAAAGAACTGCAAGATGTAAACTTGCAATTAAGAGTTTATAACTTGCAATTGTGACAAACTCACGATTCTGAGGACAAATTTGAAAATTGTGATGTTTAAACTCAGAATTATGAGAAAAACGTCAGAAATGCGAGATGTAAACCCTGAAGTCAAAATTGCAATATATAAAAACTCACAATTGCAGTTTTATAACTTGCAATTCTGAGGAAAATGGTCAGAATTGCAAGACAAAATAAGGATGAATGGTGCACTCAGAAATAAAGGTACAAAAGCTGTCACTGGGGTTGGTACCTTTTCAGAAGGTACAAGTTGCAGTTATCTTTGTGAATGTTTTTCTCCTGTGGCGTCGGGTTCTTCACTCTGCTCCTGCAGACGTGTGGTGGCTCTCCTCGCAGGAGCAGAAAGGGAAGGTCCCGCAGCAGGGCTGCAGCCACGGCTTCCACAGGACCTTTGCCCACGTCAGCTGTCTCTCCACCGGCGTCAGAGTTCTGCGGTGCTCCGTCACGGCCCGTTCGACCCGCTCCAGCACCTCTGCCAACCGCGGCTCAGTGTCCGGTGAGAGCGGACGGCTCTCTGATGGATCCCCGCTGAGCTCGAACACCAGCGGAGGGCTGTGATACGTCACGAACTCCCCGTGACACATGCAGACGCTGGTGTCGTAACAGCCGACGGCTCCCGCTGGAGAGAAGTTTGGTGTGAAGAAATGGACCTTGAAGATGGAGTCACCTGAGGTTAAAATGACAATTTAGCTTATAATATCTGTCTCAGTGTGTGTTGCTGTTATGCAGAGCTGTGTAATATACTCAATAATGTCTAAATATGATTTTAAAGTGTTTTATTTGTCTCTCAGCTTTCCTAAACGTGAGGAGTTTCATGATTCATCCTCGTCATGTGTTTTGTATGACATATGGAATGCCAAAGCTGCCAAAATAGTCAATAAATAAATACATAAATATACAAAGAAATGTAATAACAAATAAATAAATAAATGCATAAATAATTCAAAGCTTCTTCCTTGCTTAGGCCAGAACTCTGAACTCGATTGCTCCGTCTGAAGTTTATTTCTACATTTAACCCATATTACCATATGAACAAAGAAATGTAGAAATAAATACACGTGGAAATATATACATTTTGAAATGTGTATAATAAAAAATACAATTGAACATAAGGAAATAAAAGTAGAAATATTTAATTTATTTATTGTGTTTTATTTTTTTTATGTTTCCTTGTAGATTTATTTATTTATCTTTGTTATTTTAGATTTATTTGTATATTTATTTATGTATTTTTTTATTTATCATTTTGGCAGCTTTGGCTTTCCATAATGACAGTGTTCAGACAGACATTATTTAATATTCAAACTTAAAGCTGATAAGTTCATTCATTTCTGTGAATCAGTTCAAACTCTTTCAATGAGTCGATTTAAAACTGATGCAAATAAATAAAATCAGTGAGACACACAATACTTGTCAAAAGCTCGGGGTTGGTAAGATTTTTAATGATTTTGAAATCATTTATTTGTTCAGAAATACAGTAAAATGTTGAAAAATTACAGTTTAAAACAGCTGTTTTCTATGTGAATATGTGTTAAACTGTAATGTATTTCTGTGATGCACAGCTGTATTTCCAGCATCATTACTCCAGTCTTCAGTGTCACATGATCTTCAGAAATCAGTATAATATGCTGATCTGCTGCTCGAGAAACATTTCTGATTATTATCAATGTTGAAAACAGTTGTGCTGCACAATATTTTTGTGGAAACCGTAATATAAAGAAGATTTTAGCTGAAAGCGTGGCGATTCATAAAACCAGCAGCTACCATTATTTTGAGAGTCAAAAAAAGCATGTAAGGCAACTCAAAATTAAAGGGATAGTTCACCCAAAATTAAAATTCTGTAATTAATTACTCACCCTCATGTTATTCTAAACCATAAGACTTTCATTCATCTTTGGAACACAAATTAAGATATTTTTGATGAAATCTGAGAGCTTTCTGACTCTTCATAGACAGCAAGAGAAATTAAACGTTCAAGGCCCAGAAAAGCAGTAAGGACATTGTTAAAATAGTCCATGTGACATCAGTGGATCGACCGTAATGTTAACGAGCTACGATAATACTTTTTGTGCGCAAAGAAAACTAAAATAATGACTTTATTCAACAATTTCTTCTCTTGCGAGTCAGTCTTCGACGTGCATTCACAAGAGTACCAGGGTCAGAAAGCTCTCGGATTTCATCAGAAATATCTTAATTTGTGTTCTGAAGATGAATGAAAGTCTTACGGTGTTGTAACGACATGAGGGTGAGTAATTAATGACAGAATTTTCATTTTTGGGTGAACTATCCCTTTAATACCCGTGGCTCCTGACGACATATTGAGGTCTTATGAAGTGAAACGATCAGTCTGTGCAAGAAACTGAACATTATTTACCGCATTATTACTGTAATCCAGAGCCTCAGACAAACGGGGAATTCTGATTCTTTTCTGTGAACTGGTTCTTTCGGACAGTTTGTTTCAATGAACTGATTCAATTCACTAGTTAGTTTACATAATCACGCAATGACATCACATATACACAATTATATTATTAAAGCACCTAATAATGATGTGAAACGTGGATGTTTTACATGTCTAAAACATATAAAGTGAATAAATTGGTCTTCATCAGCTCAGCTTCATGCGTAAACAATGAGAAAGCATAAAAGCATAAAAATCTCTCCTTCATTCAAGTGTTGCGTTCACACATGCGCATTTCAGCGGCGCATCTGTTTCCTCAGTTCAGTAGTTCAGTGAGGAACTGGAGCGCTGAATGATTCATTCATCATTTGCTCAGATGTGCCGCTATTTCGGAG